TTGCTTCGTCTGATGCGTATCCTTTGACCTGTCCAGCAAGGGAGGCCCTGCCAGTAGCTACGCTACCGCTGGTATAGCTCTCAGGGTCCTTGGCATACTCAAACCCCCTCACCACGATAAGGTGGAGACACCAACGAGGGGGCCTTACAGCAGTTCATTAGTAAAATGGATGTTTAAGTGACTGTATTTTGGTATGTTATTTACATCCATATTGTATTTGGAAAGTAGTGAGAAAGAGAATTATAAAAAATAAGTGAGTTTTTAGGCTATCACAGTGGTGAGCATTAAGATTATCTTCTGGGAAGAAATGCCTTATAGTCTGGTAGATATATATCAGTCTGTATTATGGGATGTAACACTCTATAGCCTGATAGAAAAGTACCAATCTGTCGTCTGGATTGTGATACCTCATAGGCCGATAGATAGGTATCGATCTGCCCACGTCAGACACATGGCAGAATGTCCCAGAAGACCATAATCTTAATATTCACTGCCTTTCAAACCCTATGTCTCATATAGTGACCTTCAGTGGGGAAGTACTCTGTGAAATGTCCTTGGATTTGACTCGCTCTCCAAATCACTACTACTTCCCTGAAATTGAGTCAGTATATATAAATATATGTGTGTGTGTGTATATATATAAGTGCACCTCCCTCAAGTCTGTAGGACTTCAGGTGGGGTAGTTCTCCTATTGAAGTCCCATGAAAGAGATCTGGCTGTTTCTATAGGGGTATTACCCTCCGACCTTGGCCTCATAAGGGTTTTGGTTGAGGTATCTCCCTGCTTGGGTGAGCCTGCATTCCCTGGTTGCTGAATTCCCCAGTTCCTGCTTCACCTGCCCTTGCTCTTGCCCTTTTCACTCTCCAGCCAGCACAACCAAACAGTGCGTTCTTCACCAGATTGAGTCCACCTACTCCATAGACTAGGTGCCCTAGACCTTCTGCTGTAGGTATGCTAGAACTGCTAGCTCCCTGCAGTAGTACATCAGTGCTACCGACTCCCAAAAGAGGGGTCCTTGCTTTTACCTTGTCAAGTTTATCACCTCTGGTTCATCCCTACCTTTGGCTGAAATCTCAACAGCAGGATTGCTGGTTGCAACTGGGCCCCTTAATGGTGTACCAGAGCTTCCAGCCCCCTGCTGAAGTATTTCTCGAAGGGATTTCCTTGATGGGGAGTCCTGTTCTTTTTTAGGTCTGAGGACCAGTTTTTTCTATTTGGTTTCCACAATGGTCCCATGAGTAATGGAAATTTAAAACATCACCACTCGCAGCACCCGATACAGGTGGAAAGCATAAATAAAACGGGATGCTGCCTGTTGGCGTTTGGAGTTTCGGCTGCTCAGACGGTAGGACAAGATTCTATCTCAGGGTGACTTCTGGGCCTTGCTCACACAAGGAGATAGAGAACACTTAAAACACACACTTCACCAACACTGTTGCTCTTTATTGTAGATGTGAACTAGAATTACATATTACAAGGCTGTAGCACTTTGAATTTGTGTACTGGACTCGGCCAACACTGATTTAACGTCCAGGAGGTTACTCCTATTACTCCCTATAGACGACTGACTCCTGTTACTCACTAAGACCACTGACTCCTGTTACTCCCTTTAGACAACTGACTCCTCCGGAGATGCAGAAATCCTGACGGTTTCGGTAACACCCGGTTTCCTCTCCTCTAAAATTTTGCTGATTGGCTGAACCTAAAATTTGGGTGTTTCTCTCATTTGCATTCAGCCAATCCCTAACAATATCCATGTTAATTTGGGCATAAGTACAAGACGGTCCTTCTCACAGCTCTCAAATAAATGAAGGTACACTAACGATCGCGCGGTATGCCCCTCCGAAAATTATTGCAACTCGTATCTGTCAAGTTTCAAATTTTCAAAGACTCGTACCGCCGAAATTAAGCATTGAAATTGCCAGAAAACGCAGTGAGATACTTCCTGCTCCATTCTGGATTTTCAAGTGACCTGCAGCTTGGTTGTCCCTCAGAAAGACCAGATTTTGTCCTTGGCGCCTGCTGGTGCTGGAGTCAGCTGTGTATAATCTTTTGTTAACAGTAATACAGTTTGTTTACATGTAGTACATTGTAATTAAGAATTTAAATTAACGACATTACTGAGGCTCCTGCATGGTGCGTTTACTGATGGCATCATTACAGCCTGTAATGTATGACCTTAAGTGGGTCGTAGTTATTCCTGCCTTGTATGTGTTAATTTCTTTAATAGGATATGTACCAGCCAAATGCAGGAGCTCCACCTCAGATGCAGCAGCCCTCCATGGGAGTGCAGGGCCCTACTCCAAACTACCCCCCACTGCATCAACCTGTGGGTCCACAGCAAACAGCACATCAGGGCATGCAGTCTCAACCTGCAAGACGTCTTAATCCCAATGATATGCCAAGCCCTGTAAGTATGCAGCACTTGATAATGCCCACAACCCCTTTCACTGTCTCCCTCTACCTCCTCATTCTTCTGTAAATAAATTTCTGCTCTATCTAAGTAACTAACTCCATTGAGCTGAGTTCTTCTTGAGCCACTTAAAAATTTCCAAACATTTTATGGAACCTGAAGGTTCATTACCATGTCCACAAGAGTCCTCCACTGATCCCTGTCCTATACCAGATCAATCCAGTTCATACCACCCCATCCAGTCTATATAAGACCCATCTTAATATTATCCTGCCACCTATGTCATGCAAGAGCAATACGCCTTTGGTGAGGAGTCTTGGTCGCTTCCGTTGAATGGCCTTACAAAGTTCCCAAGTGGCTTCCATTTGTTCGGCCCTCTTAAACATCATCTTTCAGCTGAACATTTTCCCAACGATGAAGCTGTAGAAAGGGAAGCCACTGCCTGGTTCCGACAGCAGCCCAAAGAATTTTATGCTGCTGGTTTTCAGGGCCTTGTGAAACAACGGTATAAGTGCCTCAATGTACAGGGAGATTATGTTGAGAAATAAAAGCATTTTTCAAATCAGTACTCATATTTGTTTAAGTTTTATATCCATTTGTAACTTACTTATTGACTTACCCTCGTATATTATGAGTGGTATGCCATTGGAGACCACCCCAGTATCATAGTTCTTAATCTTCTACAATCAGTAATAACATGATGAATAATCAGACTTGTGAACACTAGTTCCACTTAATTTAGGGTCCTGAAGTGATGATAGTACCACTAGATCATCAGAAGCTATGACATTTTATTAAGATAATATTTTTTGGAACATGAAATAATAACATGGTAGCTGCATGAAAAATTTTCTTTCACTTTTACTTTGATGATAGTGACTGATGAACTGTTGGAGACAAGCTTGTGAAATTTGGTACAAATCACATGTGAGTATAAAATATTGTTTGCAAATCAATAAATTACAGACAGCGAAGTAAAATTTTGACATTATATCCTACCAGTTTAATGTAGACAGAGTCTGTGCTGATAATAATACATTTTTTTTAAAAATTAATCAAAACAGCAGCAGAAATGATGATGATGATTGATTGATTGATTGATTTATTTTGTCACTGTAGATCATTGTACATGATATAGGACAAGTCAAGTTAATTCTGAATATTAACAATTTAATATATGAGTAAGATTAAAATTACAATAGTTACAGTTGCTTACAGTTGATTACAATTTAGAATTAGTTAGATATTCTTATTTGTGGAGAATTTGATGGAATGAAGATTGGCAGGGGAAACCGAAGTACTCGGAGGAAACCTGCCCCAGCACCACTTTGTCCATCACAAATCCCACTTGCCCAGATCTCAGTGGTGGGAAGCCAGCGACTAATCGCTTAAGCTATGGCGTGGCCTTAGAATAATGATATGGATAGCTTGTGTAATGTTCACTGCAGATTGGTGCCCTTCTTGATGGCCTGGTATTCTCAATCTCTCTCTAAGCGGCCTACGTAGACGTCCCTCCATCACATGATGTCCTTTCTATCACATATCCAACATGACAACAACAGATTTGTATGACTAGAGAAATCTATGCTTTAGGAAAGTAGACTTAAAGAGTTCTGCTTGAACTCCTTGTTACTGAGAAAACCTCATGCATGCAATGCTTTTACAGTCACTGCCTTTGAAGAATTTGATTTTAAAATTTTCTTATAAGTTACTTAGTATTAACATTTAAATTTATGATGTTAATTTCACACTTTTTAGTAATTAAGTGTGGAATTCTGTCACATGATTATAAAGTAAACACAGAACTATATTATGGTCATATATTAAGTTTGTAGCGTGGTTTCTATGAAGTGTGCTTTTAAATTGCATGTATAAACTAATACTGAATCCTTGATCTTCCAGATTCAGGTGATGCAAGATGATCAGAGCAATAGGTCAGGCGTTTTTTGCACAAATCAGAAGGGGCTGGTTCCACCTCTCGTCACCACCAATTTTATCACGCAAGACCAAGGCAATGCTAGCCCCAGATACATTCGTAGCTCGATGTACAATGTTCCAGCTACCATTGACATAATGAAGCAAGTAAGATCCCTTCACATAAATAAATTTTTAATACTGAAGGCTGTAGAAAGATTATATTATATGTATTTTCTTGTCATTCACAAGTATAACCCTTGAAAATTTCATAATTATTGCTGAAAGAGGATACTTACTGTCCCAGTTTAGTGTACAATATTATATGTGCCAATTGTGACCAAAAATATTTTTATGACTTCAAGAATTGCTATTTAATTTTACTATGTGATGTCTGTTAAATGGGTCACATGATTTTTTCTCAGTTCCTTTTATTTTACCGTTCCTGAACATGTTGTAATCTTTGCTAGCAATACTGTTAAGAGCACATTACTGTGGCTGAAGGTATGAGGAAAAGCTATTTTTCAAATTCAGTAAAACTTTGGAACCTTCTTTTTGAGTATTTTAATGACTGTAGCAAATGTACTGTAATCTCTTGTGAACACAAGGCTTAGGTTTTGTAATTAAACTGTGGATATGAATACTGTATTGCATCAGGACTTGATCATATGGTGAACACGAGGCTTAGGTTTTGTAATTAAACTGTGGATATGAATTCTGTATTGCATCAGGACTTGATCATATGGTGAACACGAGGCTTAGGTTTTGTAATTAAACTGTGGATATGAATTCTGTATTGCATCAGGATTTGACCATATTGTGAACATGATGCTTAGGTTTTGTGGATATGAATGCTGTATTGCATCAGGACTTGATCACGTTAGAAATAGGAGTAAGGTGAATGAACCTCCACCTGGAACTCACTTTGTATAAGGAACTTTAACTTTTTGGTGTGCTTGCTTCAGTACTAGCCGTAATGGCTTCTTAATTTCACTTAATGTTTCTGACAGAAAATTAATTGATGAGAAAATTCTTTCCAACAGATGCTACACTTTCATCACACTCTACCATTTGTCTGTTTGAAAGTGATACTTTTGTGACTGTTCTTGGAAAGCAGTGCCACTCAATATTATTCCAAAATCGTTTTTAAAGTGCTATTTGTTTAATGTGGAAGATGGAATTCAAGATAACATTCTTTGGGAAGACAGTGAACAAAGCGGAAAGGGTGCATCATATTCAGGAGATGAAAGTGCAACTGAAGGATTAATGGATGAATTTTCTGATTAAATAAAAGAGACAGAAAGGGATATGCTTGTAGTCAAAATTTTAAATTTCTATTTCTGTTCCAAATAAGCTGATTGAAATATATTCTACTTTGTTCCTCAAACCCCTATTTAAAAATTGGATGCATATTAAATTTGATGGCTTCTTATATTTGAAGTAATGTGGTATTTGTCATGTCACATTTAGCAACCCCAGTATATTCTAAGAAGTACCACAGTTATGACAATACAAGCAGTTACTATTAATCCTTGAGTTAGCATGTCCTAAAATTTTACATAAGTGGGCATGTGGCATACTCTGTACACCACTTTGTTTTTGCAAAGTAAATCATGAATATGCATAAGCTATTGGTTTACTTTTAAGTAAATCTGTCCAATTTCTCATTAAACTTAAGCGCAGTTATTATATTATGATTAATTAGCAACATAGTTGAAATATAATTAAGAATTATAAACCAAATTTCACTTTAATTCTTCATTAGTTCAGTGAACATTTAAATATTAACTTCAGGAACTATGCTGTTCTCTGTCACATGCATTGCAGTTGTATGTTATCCATAGATGTCCTTCGCATGCATATTGATTGGATGAATTGCATGTTACTGTTGTGTCCATATTCTTTGCCCACCCACACAAACATACCGTCCATGCTTTTAGCTCACAACTTCTTCACATGTTTCATGGGCCTTCATATTTCGAAAGGAATTCCATCACATCCACTGGAAGCAACTTTATTTTTGATTTGATTTGGTTTCGTTTCGTTTCGTTGAGGCACTATGCTACAAGCTGGAAGGTCGCGGGATGAAATCCCAATTAGGTGGTTTTTTTCAGTTTACTACCTAATCCTTCCAGCCGCACTATGGCCCTCGGTTTGACTCAGGCTTTAACAGAAATGAGTACCAGGAGTATTCTGGGAATATTCTTGGGGTAAAGTGTGGCCGGCACGTAGGGCTGACAACCTTGCTGCCATCTATGAGCCGATTGTCTAGAAAATGTGGGAACCTCAACATCTCACAACCCTCTGGGCCTCCACAGCCTGTTACAGGGATACCTTTACTTTTTACCATACTTTGGTTTGGTTNTTTTTGATTTGATTTGGTTTCGTTTCGTTGAGGCACTATGCTACAAGCTGGAAGGTCGCGGGATGAAATCCCAATTAGGTGGTTTTTTTCAGTTTACTACCTAATCCTTCCAGCCGCACTGTGGCACTGGGTTTGACTCAGGCTTTAACAGAAATGAGTACCAGGAGCATTCTGGGAATATTCTTGGGGTAAAGTGTGGCCGGCACGTAGGGCTGACAACCTTGCTGCCATCTATGAGCCGATTGTCTAGAAAATGTGGGAACCTCAACATCTCACAACCCTCTGGGCCTCCACAGCCTGTTACAGGGATACCTTTACTTTTTACCATACTTTGGTTTGGTTTCGGCTGGACTGGGCTGGGTTGGTCGGTTGTGAGATTGTTTGTCTAGTGTCAGTGCGAGCAAAGGTAATATTGATGACACCAGTGATTGTTTAAGTGTGTATAGTACTAAATTTTCCCTGGGAGTTTCTCTCCACTCCAGTCATTAAATCAGTGAACTATGTGGATTGTATCAGAGTTATGTTTGTCTCTAAAAGACAGTTTTTTAAAAAAGAGGTCAGGACAAAGGGATGGGCAGCAGATGTCCAGTTCTCACCATATCATTGCATTTGCTTGGAGCAGTTAAGAAAAAATATAAATAAAAAGTAAAATCACAGTCAGATAGTGAGCTCTTGCTGTCTTTAGAAAAACTATTGTCATATTTTATTTTATATGAACATAATTTTTCATGATTTTTTTTATTTCCAGGCTGCTCTGCCATTTGGTATTATAGTAAGTCCTTTGGCAAGAACTGTTGGTGAGGAATATGTGCTACCCATTGTGAACATGGGAGAAATTGGACCTGTTAGATGCAACCGGTGCAAAGCATACATGTGTCCATACATGCAATTCATTGATGGTGGACGACGTTTCCATTGCCTCTTCTGCAAAGCCACTACAGAAGGTGAGGGTCTTATACACAGAAGAACCAGAATGCAGCATGAATCTTTCTCTGTTGAAGATTAATTCTAAGTCAGATGTTATATTTTAGCGTCCTCTTACACTGATTCATGTCCATGGTTTATGCTGACCGTCTTACAGTGTATACACTTTTTTACCTTATTCTTCACTTCCACACTACATGTTTCGGCACTAATGTGCCATCTTCAGGTTTCTTTATGCATGTTAAATTATTGTACTGTACGCCACAATATCTCCATTCTAAAATGACTAAAATCTGTGTTCGTCATATAGGACGATGAATTCTAAATAATAAAACTTTTCAGGATTCTTCCTACGTCGCACTAAAACACACAAATTACGCCAATCCTCTTTTATGTGAGCATTCCTCCTACATATATTTGTGTATCGTGTTCTGTGTTGTGTTTTGCTCCTGTTACTGCATGCATTGTACAGCAGTACAATTCGCGTTTTTGAGTGCGACGTAGGAAGAATCCTAAAAAGTTTTATTATTTAGAATTCATTGTCCTATATGACGAACACAGATTTTAGTCATTTTAGAATGGAGACATTGTGGCATGCAGTACAATAGTTTAACATGCATAAAGACACCTGAAGATGGCACATTAGTGCCAAAACATGTAGTGTGGAAGTGAAGAATAAGGTGAAAAAGTGTATACACTGTAAGACGGTCAGCATAAACCATGGACATGTAAGTCAGATGTTATAGTGAAGAGTAGAGTCCTCTGGATTCTAATGCCATGAAGCTTGGAGAGAGTCCAACATTTCGAAGGAACATATTACATCCCTCTTCATTGTCAGAGTAAGCCAAGTAAGCAACCAGCAGGTGACAAGTACCACCTGCTTCTGCAGGTGAACCGTACTCTTCTTAGTCACCACTCTGAGAACATCAGATCCAACAAGATTTTATAGTTTTTCCATAATTTTTATGATAAGAGATTTTCCAAATTGGAACCAAGATTCATGTAAGCCTTATATCAATTTGATTTAATTATATCATTTATTTGTCAGTGCCTTTGGAGTATAAGAAATAAAGACATGAATACAAAGATAATCCAGAAATTGAAAAAAAACAAACATTTGTATATACCGTATGTCCAAAAAGTATTCGACTTTATTTTTTTCCGCTGTAAGTAATGGCCAAAGGGGTGGGGAAACTGAGCGTAGTGGTAGAAGGGACTTTCATGCCCATGCATGATTTTTTGCTGACTTGCAACACTGTTGGATGCGTCTGTGGCTGCCAGATAGCGAAGTGGTGTAATACGTGTTCATCGCATTCTCGTTTCGCTCAAGATGACAGAACGCTTGGAGCAGCGATACTGCATCAAGTTTTGTCAAAAACTTGGGGATACCCAAGCGGAAACAATTCGCAAAATTCAGCAGGCTTTCGGCGATGATGCAATGGTGGTCACTCAAATTAAAAGAGTGGTTCAACCGCTTTAAACATGGCTGTATGTCGGCGGACAGTGAGCAGCGTTCCAGGAGACTGTCAATGAGCCGAAATGCTGATGTCATTGAAAAAGTGTGGACACTGATCATGGAGGACCATCGTTTGGNGTTCTTGAAGACTGTGATCACTGGTGACGAGTCGTGGGTGTACGGATATGACCTGGAAACCAAGGTCCAGGCATCAAAATGGAAGCATCCAACATTCCCGAGGCCCAAAAGAGCACGACAAGTTCAGAGCAATGTGAAGGTGATACTGACTTTTTTTCGATTACCGGGGTGTTGTGCATCATCAGTACGCACCACTAGGCCAGACTGTCAATAAGGACTACTACCAAGGAGTCCTCCGTTCTCTTCATGATGCAGTTCATCGCAAGAGACTGGAGCAGTGGGACGCACGCGCCTGGCAGCTGCATCATGACAATGCCCCAGCTCATTCATCACACCTGATCCAGGGTTTCCAGGCCAAGCACGGCATTCCGCAGGCTCGCCAGGCTCTCTACTCTCCTGACATGGCTCCTTGTGATTTCTGGCTGTTCCCGAGATTGAAGACACCGCTAAAAGGCTGCTGTTTTGACAGCCGCGAGGACATCATACAGAACATGATGCCACAGCTGCACGCCATTCCAAAAGAAGCCTTCCAGAATTGCTTCCAGCGATGGAAGGACCACTGGGCTAAGTGTGTGGAGTCACAAGGGGCCTGCTTTGAAGGCGATTAGGTATTGTAGCCACCCAGATACAGAATTTTTTTTCCCGGCCCAAGGTCAGATACTTTTTGGACAGAGTAGTATATCCTTTACTTAATCACATTTCCTACTTTCTCTCTCTCAATGAAATTGAGCAGTAAGGATTAATTGAGAGTCACCTGCGAGCAGATTGGATGTAACACACTTTGAAGAATGTTAAGTTAGACATCAGAAATTCATTAGGTTTTTAGCTGTCATGAAATGGGCTTGTTGGATATTTAATGAAGAACAAAATTTGTGCAGTATCTCAGCACAAAATATGCTAATATTAAAGGAGTTTGAATGAATGTAATTATTGCTTTTTTATGTTAACAGTACCTGCAGAGTACTTTCAGCATTTAGACCATACAGGTCAGCGTGTGGATCGGTTTGAGAGACCAGAGTTGATACTGGGATCATATGAGTTTGTGGCCACTAAGGATTACTGTAGGGTAAGTTGACAACTGGGCTTCAGTAATTTAGTACTGCAAATAATTTTTTACTTTTTCTTTAAGAAATAATTTTATCCTACATTACATATTAACATTATAGTCTTTTCATTCCCCACTTCATTTAATCCGAGGTTAGTAAAGTAACTAGGAATTTTCAATTTTTCATAAAATTCAGTGAGTTTTAGGATATTTAAGACTGCTGGAAATCCTTGCAAGATTTTGAAACTTTTCTAAATTTTTGGTAGTGTTAGGAAGTTTTTGAAATCATTGTCATTTTTAAAAGATGGAAGTATTTCAGAATATTCATAAATTCCAGTATTTTATTATTTTGGAAACAATGACAATTTTGATGTCAGAAATTTTTAAGGTTTGTAAATTTAGGGACATTCTTAAAAATTTTGGAAATTTTAAAAAATGTTTGTTTCTATAATGCTTTCAGCATAGTCATTATTTTTGAAAGGTCTAAAAGATAATGAAAATTGTGAACTTTGAAGAAGTATATACTTTGAATTCTGTAAGGTTGGCCATAGTCTCTGTGTTAGATCTTTTTCTATCCAGTTGGACAGAAATGTTGTGGCTGGGACACACTGTGATAGGTTAGGTTGTGGTAGGTTAGATTAAGTTAGGTTTTATACCTCAGCAGGTGACTGTGCATTACACACTGCACCTAATCAGAGCCTGGAAAAATAGTTAGGAATCGTCAGTTTTTTATAAATAATTTTAGAATTTTCAGAAATTTTGTAAAGTTTTGAAAATTTTCATAGGCATTGAAGTTCCAAGTATTTCAATATCTTTGTGATCTTTACAGTTTTGTCTTTGGAATAGGAAAAGTCAATATTTTAGCAAAGTACTTTGTATTTTGGAAATTTCAGAACTTTCTTGAACATTTTAAAATTGTTCAGAATTGTTGAAACCTTTGTGATGTTTGTAGTATACTTCTAATTTGAGCCTTGTTTGCATCATGGCTTCCTTCATTCCTGTCTCCCACCCATTTTTCACCTTTTGGTTCTAGAAGTCTTATTGTGAGACCAACCACACAATTCCCCTCTCTCCCCATCCTCCAACTGTTTCTAGTTTGGTTGAGTCAGGAAGTAGGGAGTGGATGTCCACTCAGTGACGAGAAGTCGGGGAAGGCAGGCAACGAATTTTGTTTGGTTGTGGCCGGTCTAAATTCGGCTGTTACTTGTCCCAAACATTCACGGGAAACGCTCCCCTTACCCAGTTGGGAGAAACACTCCAAACCGAATTTAGACTGGCCATGACCAAACAGAATTTGTTACCTGCCTTCCCCAACTTCTCGTCACTGAGTGGGCTTCCGCTTCCTGACTCAACCAAACTAGAAACAATTGGAGGGGGGAGAGAGAAGGTAATCACATGGTAGGTCTCATGATACAACTTCTAGAACCAAAAGCTGAAAAAGGGGTGGGAGATAGGAATGAAGCAAGCCATGCTGCAAACATGGCTCAAATTTTGGAAAGATCTCAAGAAACTGTCATCTTCAAAACTATGAATGTTTTGATGTGTATTAAAAAGCAACATACTTTTGAGCTGTGTAGTTCATTTTGTGGGTCTTGGTCTCCATAATGGAGTCATGCATTCATTGAGCATACTACTGCAATCATTTCCATATGAAAACTGTAACGTTATTGATTCTGTCATCTTCTTACAGGACAACACATTCCCAAAGCCTCCAGCACTCATCTTTCTCATTGATGTGTCTTATAACAATATCAAAAATGGCATGGTTCGCCTTCTGTGCAGCCAGATGAAAGAAATACTGAAACTCTTACCCAAGGATGAAGGTGCTGAAAAATCCAATATGAGGGTCGGCTTCATCACATACAATAACACGGTGCATTTCTACAATGTTAAGGTAAAGAATATAATCTGTGAAAATATTTTCTTCAGTTTGCAATGATAACTTCACAATTCATTGACACTGTTGGACATTTCAGCTTTTGTGGGGCAGCCCTTTAGAGAGTTGTTCCACTCTTCTATCTTCCCAGAACTTATTCCTTTTGTTTTCATCATCATTCTGCTCTTGTTCTCTCTAATTTAATTTCACATCATGCTATCAGCTGCTTCATTGTTGTTGTTCCACCACATTTTCTTGAAATTATGGTGGAAATTGAAACCATTTCTTATTTCTTATCTTGTATATTCAGTGTCCATGCTGTCAATGTATAGTAATGTTTTATCTTGTTTTGGAGCAGTTATTCTGTTTGTTATGATCATGATGTATGTTTTCATTTACATATATTTTACTGAATGCCATTGCACTGTTCTCTTGCATTTGGTAACTTGTTTCTGATGGTATTCACTTTTTTGCCACACACAAATTCTGGGTGCCACTTCTAAGCACAGATGAGCTAACTTAAGGCTGGTAGAGGCTGTTTGATGTATACAGGGTGTCCCAGGAGGAATGTGCCAAACTTCGGGAGGGTGTTCCTTATGTTAAAGTATGCCGATATAACCCAAAACACCTATGTCCAAAGTTGAACGGTTACGGAGATAATGGCCCAAGAAAAGTGTGGTCTTCTGGCAGGTCCAAGCACTGTACCTCGCTGTACCTCTCAGCTGAGAGCCCTTATCTATGTTTGTCCTTGAGTGCGATGATACTCCCTAGCCGTGCTTATGTAGTTGGCTCATACCAGAACGCGCAGTCAGCACGTTACGTCATCGCTCGCCAGTCATGTGTTATGTATACTGCTTGGAAACCTAAGGACAATTATGACATGGCGAGCGAGTATTTTGTACTTCAATTTTATGGCTTTCCGTCACTCACAAGTTGGTTTGATGTTACGTACATTATTAACATTACAGAATCCACATATTCCTGCCAGTTTTAATATCTATTTTGTAATCAACAAGTGTGTAACCCCGGTCAAAGTTTGACACTTCTCGGGCCATTATCTCCGTAACCGTTCAACTTTGGACATAGGTGTTTTGGGTTCTATCGGCATACTTTAACATAAGGAACACCCTCCCGAAGTTTGGCACATTCCTCCTGGGACACCCTGTATAATCTTTCTAGAATGGTCTCATGGCTTTGTGAGTGAACTAGGTGCTTTGTGTTGGTAGAAGAACTGGTGAGAGTAGGGAAGCCTGGAACCTTAGTGAAAATGCATGTGAATATGGTCCAAATTCCACTATATATTTTCTTCAAGATAGCCTTTTTTATGTCATAATGCAATCCATGATTTTCCCGTGAACAGTATTATTTCCTTTATCCAGATCTGTATCATAGTATCCTTTGGTTTTGGCCTTTTGTTCTTAGTTATGTTATGAAAATATATCAGTGGACATGATCAATCCCTCCTGGATCATCTCTGAGGTTTGAAGTTCCCACGTGGGGGAGTAATAACACTGGGATGAGATGCCATGTGGTTTGGCAGATTTGTACCAACATATTAGAGGAAGCTGCTGTCTTCATCTTCTGGATAGCCAGAAATATTGATACCTATGTGCCAGCCTACATCCCAGAAGTATTTAGTCTTAGGTCATCTTCGCCCATCAGGCACTATGTCAGTAACTTCATTATCAGCTTAGCTCTTGCAGTCTGTCAAAGCTTTTTAATTTGTATGCTGTATTTTTCTCCTCAGGGTTGTCTTGCTCAGCCACAGATGATGGTGGTTGGGGATGTGCAGGACATGTTTATGCCTCTGCTGGAGGGTTTCCTATGTGATCCCATGGAATCTGAGACTGTTATTGACAGCCTGATGGAGCAGATACCTGCTATGTTTGCTGATACTCGCGAAACAGAGACTATTCTGGCCCCAGCAATCCAGGCTGGTCTTGAAGCACTCAAGGTGCAGTACTAATCCATGCTTTAGACACATTGACCGTGTGTCTCATATTTTTAGAGGCCATTTACTGCATGTTTCTGGCTTATTGTAATTATTAGAAGAGAACAGTTTGACTGTTCATATTTTTCTCTTGTTTCTGGAACAGCTTAAGAATTGTGAAAATTCGCGCACACGCATATGTGCATGTGTGTGTTTGCATACATGCACGCATGTGTTTAGGGGGGCAATGGTATTTATATTGTAATGTGTCTTGAGTTTGAATCTTGTTGATCACGTGTGTAAGTCCAATCCCACTTCTGACACCAGTGTAACATGTGTTGAGTTACTGAATACGCCGTAGAGATCGTTAATTGGTTTATTTCACAACCTACAAATCTCGGCTACAATCAATTATAACAAAGTTGCGGGGTTTCACAATTTATAACCCTATTCGCAAATCAAATCACTCTATTGTCAGTATACACGTTTTTATAACGCGGGAGGTATACAAGTGTAACTGTATCCTGTATCACACACTCCCAGTTACTGAAACTATCACTGATTCTCACACATGCGTCCGTAACTCATAACTGCTGCCTTGAGAACTGTTGATCACACACTAACACTCGCTTGCTGCTCAGCTGGCTTTCATTCCGTTCGCTGTTGCCTGTTGTCCGTGTCAACAGTGTCGTTGCATGCCACGTCACAGTAGGAAGTGGTGCTGAGTCACAGCGGGAAACTGCCACGTCACCGTGCGGAGGGGGGTGACGGAGCGCTGACTCACCCGCCACGTCACTGCTGGGGTGAGGGTTTCTCCATTGTGCAACATGTCACACTATGTTCACAAAATTAAGTGAATTTGAATTTTATACATGTTTCAGAATTTTCCAGTGGTGGTTTATTAGTTGACTAGTTTGTATATATATTATTCACATATTGTTCTACAGAAGATGAGGAATTTCTTGACCAGCTGAGTGACTATTGACTTCTCAGACACTGTCTCTTGAAGTTAGTTATTTAGGTGATTATTAAAGTAACTATGTCCATGAAGTAATGATTGTCAACTATGTTGTATTTTAGCGTCCTGTTGCACTGATTCATATTCATAATGTGTAAGTATTAACAGCTTTCAAGTGCATACAGTCCAATTTACCACTTCTACACTACATGTTTCGACAGTATGCTGCCATCTTCAGGTGTATCGATCCGTCAACTATTTCACTGGTTGCCTTTATATGTCCATTTACAAATAATATTAAATTTGTATAGTCCTTATATAATAAAGTTTATGTATTTAAAATTTAATAGGTTTTAACAAGTTTTAAATACATAAACTTTATTGTTATATAAGGACGTATACAAATTTAATATTATTTATGAAGGACATATAAAGGCAAGCAATGAAATTGTTGATGGATTGATACACCTGAAGATGGCAGCATACTGCCGAAACATGTAGCGTGGAAGTTGTAAATGGGATTGTATGCCCTTGAAGACTGTTAATACATACACATTATGAAAATGATTGTCAGGTTATGGAAAAGAAGGTTGGGGTTTCACACAAGCAGACTTCATCTAATGGCCTGATATTTGTTATACCTGAATCTCGGTGAATAAAAGAAGCAAATATTGAAATGATGTGATGAGTGTCAGTAGCCATGGCCATATAAGAATCTGAAAATATTTCTATGTTGTATTTACATATTTCTTCCCTCCTCCAACATACTCATGTGCTTTGGCAAGTGTGGTAGAAGGCTGATGTGAGAAAAACAGCCCACAAAAAAATTAATTTAGTGAGTATTTTTATATGCCATCAATTTAATTTTATTAACCATAGTAACAATCTTTTGTTTTAAGGAGAGTACATTTTCAGAATTTTCACTGTAATGGATGTTCACTGCCGCTAGTTACTCCTATGTGCAAAATAGCATCACATCAAATTGTACATGTCTCATTTCTCATGGGAGTAATAGGAGCAACAGTCTCTTTAGTGACGGGCCCTATCAGATACTACCCAATAGTGGAATGTAGCTGTTGAATGAACTATCAAATTAAATTATTAGTGAATTATTCACTAACTTGATTTGATTTCTTTCTAGGTATTCATATTATTTGATAGTTTTTAGCAATTTAATTATTTTTTGATTTTCATATGATTATGTCTGTCACTGTATGTGCAAACTCAATCATAAGAGGCAGGTATTGTGCGTATGTGGGTGTTTGTAGTTTTTATATGTTCTAGCATTGATCAGTGGTTAACAAATTTTTTAAGTAACTCAGCTTAAGTTAAGAATAATCATAAGGTGGAAATCCCCTTGTTCAGCCCTGAATATAATTGCAGTTCAGCTCTAGACCACACAACCACTTGTTTTATCATTGGCACCATACTGGTGAATCGGGTTCGTGGTGTACAAAATAAGAATTGTTCACTGTTATTACTCGTAAAATTACATGACCTTTTCATTTGTGTATTAAGCTTAGATTTGACAGTGTTGTTCAGACATTATTTAAGAATAACAAATTAGCAACTAATTTCTTATAAACTCCAACATTTTCACTGTTTAGAATGAGATAACTGCAGATATTCTCTGTTTAATTTTTTGTAGTGGTTTGTAGATTTGTGGGTCAAAACATAACTATGCAGTGGTATCCTGTCTTAATGCGTCTTGATTTAAGATTTTCTCTCATTCACTTTTCAGTTGCAGTGATACCAAGTCAGTTATCTCAGTTTAAGAGGTTCCTCATTTTGTTCAAATCTACTGCTTCTAGAAGGTACCTCACATTGGGGTTTCTCTGTTATGAGCTTTTGACACTGTATAGCTTGTGCTGCCCTCAAGGTTGTTAAACAATAAATAAACAAATAAATAACATATTGTGACATGTCTAACCATTGTGGGGCAACGGGAGGTGGCACGAGTTACCACGAAGACAGACCCTTGTTAAATGGTCGGTTTCCAGGTTGTTGCCCAGCAACACCTATAAACATAGCGATTATGCAACAGGGAAGTGAGGTGCGTTTTCCGTTGTCTGGCGGCGGGTTTATAAGAGAACTACACTGCGTAAGAAGTCAGTTAAAATGTAGTGGCCGCCGAAGTCAGTTGAATTGTAGCAGTCGCCGAGTTCAGTTGTAGCGAGTGAATCGTGAATGTGAAGAATACTGGAACATGTGATTAGAGGCGACAGTGTGAGAAGTCATTGGGAGTGTGTAATTAGTGACACTGGTATCGCTCCCGTATTGCACTGTGAATAAGTGAAGACTATTGAAGATAGTGCGAAGAGATTTGTGAGTAGGGTTTGTAAAGTGTGTAAACCTGCAACTGTGTTATAATTAATTGTAGTTACGATTTGTAGGTTGTTAAATAAACCGATTAACAGTCCAAACGGCGTCTTCAGAGACAAAACACGTTACAATATATTGATTGTACGTTATTGCGTCAATTTTTAATGCTGTTACTAATTTTTATCTGAATGGTCTTCTATTATAGGTCTTAAAATATTAACAGACATATATTCAGTAGTGCTACTGTAATTTAGTAACTGTAAGTTGCTCAGTTTATTGGTATTATAACTTGAAATTGAGATTATAAGAGTAATACTTATATGGTTCAACTTTCATGCAGGCCTCAGAGTGTGCTGGAAAGCTATTAGTGTTCCATTCATCTTTACCAATAGCCGAAGCTCCAGGCAAACTCAGCAACAGAGATGACAGAAAAATCCTAGGTACAGAAAAGGAAAAGGCAGTGCTAAGTAAGTTCTTGTTACATTGTATTGTATAAAATTCTTCTGTCTCCCTGTTATCTGTGTCTACCGCTATTCTGTCACTGGGCAGCCAAGTATAGTTTCTTGCTCAAGTGATTTGTTTGACATTTAGAAGACTCTATATTATATGACATCATGGCACTGAATATTAAAAAAAAACTCATGTGAAGTCATATCCTCTCATTTTTTATATCCTGAATTTATTGATAAGTAGGAATAATTCAGTCTGTTTCTTGCAGTGCATTAATTTTCTTGTATCAAGTAAGAAGTTAATGCACCCTGTCATTTCCATTGTTTATAAAAAAAATAGTATACACCTAGTCACCAGCATGGAATAAGAATTTATTAATGATATTATATGTTAGAAATAAAATCATTTTCTTATTTCAGAACAAAGAAAAACTCCCATTAAAAACATACTTGTGAGCTATTAATGTTTTCTATTGTGATATCAGGTTTTTTTTTAATATAAAATTCAGGAAAAATATACTTCAGGGAGGGGTTTGATAAGTTCACTCAAGTGTAAAGTGTTCTAAAAACATCAAGCTTCATTTGATGTAGAAGGTATAAGAATGTGAACAGTATTTTTGTATGTCTCATTACAAGTACGTGTTATATTGCATTCATTTGAATGTATCATTTTAATATCAAATTTTTTGTTTATCATTGCCTATTGCATTAGCATTTTTCGTATTAGTACAGTTTTCATGTTGTACTACAGATCTAGGAATATCTCCTTTTTCACTGTTAAATGCATAACGTCAACTCCAAATGCTTGAAAAGTATATTTTCATAAACTTCTGCAGGAGGCAATGTATCCATTGCTAATTGTAATAATGATATTTGTACATATTCTTTAGTATCACTTATGCAAACAACCACCAGCAAGTTCACCACAATTTACAGCATCTCCATATTGTTACTGAGGAAGAACTCAAATTTGTATATGCTGAATTCCTTTTATTACATTTATCAAAGAATGAATTTACAGTTTAACCTTTCAGTTATCTGTACAGATTTGTTTCTCACACTCTTCCTGTCTTCATGCAGTTTGGACAGAATATCTTATATATAATATGTATATCTAACTACATGAAACTGAAATTAACGGCTGTGGGGATTCATTGTGCTGACCACGCAGAACCCTCTATCCACTAAAGTTGGTACTAACTTCACTGACAAGTGGTGGTCGCTCAGTCAGTATAGTTTGCTTGTGGACTCCAGCCACGTAGTTTGTTTATCCATCTACATGACCACACTCAAAGTACAGGAGAATCTATGCGATTTCTAGCTCTCAGGGGTTTCATCTAATAATCTTATTAAAAGAACAAGGAATTTTATGCTTCCTCTTTTGCTTGTGTATGTTTCATAACTGACAACAATATATGAAATATTGCAAGTCATATTTACTATTTTGGCATTAATGGGGGAAACATTCAAAACTTCTTCTGTGCACAACCATAGGGTTAAAGATTGTGCTGAACATAAATTCGTGAATCAGTAGATTAACACACATAATTGATTCAGCACCACAGGTGAATGTGTACAACAACCTGGGCCAGGAATGCGTCAGTGCTGGTTGCAGTGTGGATCTATTTGTATTCAACAATTCTTACTTTGACTTGGCTACCATTGGACAAGTGTCAAGATTATCTGGCGGAGAAATTTACAAGTACACATACTTCCAGGTACATGAACAGCTAATTATAAATCTTAGAGTAAATTTTCAAAATTATGTAAGCAAATTAAATTAAACTCTTATTCATTTATGAATATTTTTCTTTACACATACTTGAATTAAATGAATATAAAACTCATTTGCGTAAATGGTTTCTTAAAATCACAGAGTATTTACACTGATGCATATATCATCAGTTAGAAAAATGGTGTTTACTTATGTGCAAAATATTCTGACAGGCTGATCTGGATGGTGAACGACTAATAACAGATATTAAGCATGATGTGATTCGCCCAGTTGCATTTGATGCTGTCATGAGAGTACGAACATCAACAGGTGTTAGAGCAACTGATTTCTATGGTCACTTCTTCATGTCCAACACAAAAGACATGGAACTTGCCAGTATTGATTGTGACAAGGTGAGGAAATGCTTGAAGTTCAGTAACAATGAATGTCTACTTTAATATAAAAGGCATTTGTGCAAACTTTGTGGGTGGGTTATCAAGCAATGAGTTTTCACATGTTACCATCTAGCAGTTAGTTAGGCAACATTGCTGGAATGTGGTGTATCATATGTTCTTACAGAAGACTGTAGTCATTTTTCAGAAAGTGTATCTACAGTAAAACTTGGATATAGCAACATCGGTTTCTGCGACACCTTGTCTATTGCGTCAAATATTCAGTGGTGCGAACTAATTCGTCATAAAGCAACTGTTTTTATACCTTGCTTAGTGTGACATGCACAAATGCATCAACCTCGTATGTAACGTCATTTTCATTCCTGAATTTCTCTGATATCGTGGGAAAGTTCGATGTGTCTGCCCACCCTCACTTTCTCTACTTGCTGACGTGACTGTCCTGGAAGAATACGATCG